AACTACCTGAAAGGGGTTGTAGAGAGGTGGGGGTTGGTCTCTTCTGCCATTCCTGCAGTGAGAGGACAAGAGGGAATGGTCCTAAGCTGAGACAGGGAAGATTCAGATTAGATATTAGGAAAAAAATTTTCCCAGTTAGGGTGGTCAGTCATTGGAATAGGCTGCCCAGGGTGGTGGTGGAATCACCATCCCTGAAAGTATTTAATAGGCATCAGGATCTGGTGCTGGAAAACATGGTCTAGGGTTTAGGGGTTACAGAGAAGTGACAGCAAGTTAATGGTTGGACTTGATGATCTAAAAGGTCCTTTCCAGACCTAATGATTCTACTGAGCAGCTGTTTTAATAAGATAGAACAAGAGGAGGACTATAGACTGCAAGTAAATCTATAATACCCATTTAGATGCTGGCACCCTGTGTTCAGGCAGCACTGAGCAGACCCTAGCTGAATTTCTCCACAGCAGATCCTGTCTGTGAAGGGAAGCTCCCTCATTTTTGTCATCTCAGCTATTACATATTTTCTTACAGGAGCACAATTCTTTTCTTAAAGGAAGTTTGACCTTCCTGCTGCACATATAGCTGAGCAGCGGTTAGTGACTGCACCGGTGCCAGGTGGAAGCTTCCCCAGGCTTCCCTGTCACAATTCACCAGAGAAGTTTCTCCTGTGGCCAAGGGATGTGTGCAGCCTGTAGGCCATGCTGCACATGCAGCACAAATCTGTGTATAGATATTACAGCTGAAATTGTAGTGTATGTGTTTTTCAGTCTCTAAGCACAAGCAAGCAGACACGGTCTGTTTGAGATTACCAGCTCCGCAAATGCCATGTCTGCTGTGTGGCTTCCAATACATGGACCATCTTCTCTTAACTTCACAGGGGAAACTCTCTTGGGTTTGGTAGCGAATGTGGATAAGCTTTGCTGACAGCTTGTGAACGTGTTCATGAGCACTTCATCCTTGACCAAGCTCTGACAGCATGGTGATGCTCAAGGCAGAACCACCATGCTTTCCACAGAGCCAAGCTTCAGGTGCTTCAGGGAATGTCTGTGACAGAGTAGTCAAGAGATGCAAGGAATGCTCTATGCAGAAGAATAAATCTCATTTTTCTAGCAAGGAAGCATTATCATCCCTTTGAAACTTAGAAGTAGGCTTCAAAGACATCGTCCGATTGTTATTTTTTTAACCAGAAACGTGTCAGCCCTTGCTTCCCAGCCAAGGAGTAAGGAAAGAGGAAAGCGCAGGGCTCTGGGGAGGCATGCACAGACATGTCATTACGTGGTGGCCTCTGCGGTCAAACAAATTTCCCGTTTCCTCTTGCATCACCCTGTCCCCGCCGAGCCCGGGGGTGTGCTGCGCCGCCGGCCGAGGGCGAGCCCCGAGAGCAGGAGCAGCAAGAAGGACAGCACCAGAGGGTCCGCTGGGACAGGGGAGCCATGTACCGCAGAAAGCTGAGAGGGTAAAAGAAACTGCTGACCGAAAAATCCCACCCCAGCTTCAGCTCTGTCTTGTTGTTGTTGCTTCAGCCCAAGGGACCTCTCGCTTCGCTGCCCCAGGGATTGCTTTCTGCCCGTGCGGTCTCTGCCTGGCTGTGGGAAGGGCGAGGGCGATGCTGTGCCAGGGTACCCGAGCGGGAGCCTCGTCCCCAGGGTAACTGCAGTGAACGAGCTGCAGCGCCGAACTCTGAGCCTGTTGAGGGAGTTCCCATCGGCATAAAAGCCGTCACGGGAGCCATAAACCATCGAGGAACAAAGGGCACGGACAAAAGCAAAGGAAGAGGTGGGCGAGGGGGGAGTGTTGGGGAAGGGCTAAGGCAGGCGCTGGCTCGCCCCAGCGCTGGGCAGCAAGGCAATCCGAAAATGCCTCTTCCCTGCCCCACGGTTTCGAGGTCTTGAAACAAGCTGTTGTACCACAACATAAAGCGTCGGACCAGGCATTTTCAGTTCAATAAAACGCTGGGGGAGGGGAGTTTTGATGTAAAGTTTAGTAAAGAAGCATCAGCAATGGAGGAAAAACGTGGATTAAAAGTTTTGACGCATCTATGCTCGTGTATTTTTAGACATTATCATTATTGCTGTTATTATCTTGCAATGAGCAGAATTTTAAATAGCTCCTCATAAAAACTGTTAGAGGAAGGAAGGAAAATTATTAAATATCTATAATGATGCCGTTTATTACACGAAGAATTAATAACAGAGATATTAGTTTTAGGACCTGTTTTTGTCAAATTAAGTACATTTTAAAATAATCTCATTTGACTCCTGTTCAAGGGACAAGACAATAGGAAATATATAAATAATGCATTAAAAAAGATCTTTGTAATCAGTCAATACATTTTCAGGTTTTAATGCACATTTGCATTAATAAAAAAGAAAATAAAGCCTAGGAGACAATTATTTTGGCTGTCATCCCTCTGCCATTTTCTCCCCTAACTCCTACAAATATATTGCTGTGCAATTAACTTTTCAAGTTCTCAATCACTCTTTACAGTTGGTGTATTTCTCCAGCTCTTAAATTCTGAAAGGGTTACCAAGTTCACCTTCATGAGACTGATGAACCAAATTTAGACTAAAAACTACAAATATTTTCTTTTTTATTTCTTTTACTATTTGCTAAGCCTTAATTTTGTCTCATATTTGTATCAAGTAGCAAGCTATTAAGTGCTTGATTATTCTTTTTTAGTTTGGCTCTGTGTGTATGTGTGTACCGTACATAACAAAGCTGAACAGCAAAGGCTGCTTGTGATCACTATAAAAACAAAAAAAAGAAACAGTTGCATGCCTTTGGGCAATTTATGTGTAAACTCACTATTTTAAGTATTCTCTTATTTGGTCTGGGGAGAAAAAGAAATGCTGTCATTCATTCTATATATGTGAATGTTTTATGATGTTTTTTAGGGTTTTTTGTCTGTCCTTCCATTAGAGATGTTTACATTTACATTACTCTATTTAAAAAATAGTAGGTTTTATCTGTAGTAAATGTTTATAAGAGTGCAGACTTTTGCTTATATTTCATTAAGTTGATTGCACCATAAATTTCACTTGGCTTAACACATCTCTAAGCTGGCTACATCCTGAAGATCTGTGTATTGCTAGATTGTTCTAAAGAAATTGTTTTATGTCCCTGAAAATATGCACAGGACACACACTGCAACAGCTTAACCAAAGTGCAATATTTCATGGTCAAAATAGAGGCAAGAGGGTGCTTAAGACCAGTTTAAGTAAGACTTGGAAGATTTAACTTGTTTGTATGTTATAATTAGATGGCCACTACAGATACCTTTGAGCAAATCAGATCTCTGTAATCTATTGGAGCATTGCTTTCCAAAACCTTAAAGATGCCTTCTGTGAGAATTAGATTAATTAATTGGGCCTGAGTATTGGGAGTTCAATGTATTTTCTTTGGTGAGCTTCAACCAGTCACACATATTATATATTTACTGTGAACAGTAATAATTATTTTATCTGAATATGTTCCCTAAAAATAATTTTAAAAGAAATTTAAACTAATAGGAGATACCTTCCAAATAACATAATAGAAATAGGAAAAAATGCATCTCTTTTAACACCTCAAATGACAAAGCATGCAAATTGAATCCATGCTTCACTTCTGTCTCAGTTATTTTTTTAACAACATACTAAAGGAATTATGCATAATTAAAGTTATTCCTGTACCAGAATTAAACATTTGGTGACATTTACATTTGTTACATTTACATACATTCAATATAAAGTCTGATAAAGAAATCTGCATGCATGTTGTCTGTGGTTTATGTACATGGAGTTTACAGAGAAAAAACAGGTACACTCTGTGATTTATAAACTGCTTTGTGTACATATGAATTTTCATGTGTAAGAGGCTGGGATGAGGGATGAGACAGGGTGAGAAGAAAAAGACTTCTGCCTGACTCAGATACATGAGATGCTATTTTGCATAGGTGATGATGATGAGTCTTGCAGCTAGAGAATATGTGAAAGATGCTTGATCTGCAAGATTTAATTTGTCTAATTTGTCCTTAGTTCAGATTGGGGGTTTTGTGTGGTTTCTTTATTGTTTGGTTAATTTTGTTTGGTTGGTTTTTGTTTTGTTTTATTTTTTGTTAATGGGTGCTAATCTATAAACCAATTTACAGGTTTGTTACTCCTCTGTTATGAGTCTGTCCAGTTGTCTACTAGATTTATTCTGAATTGTTCCAATATGGAAAAACATATATGTTAAGTGCATTCTAGTATAAATCTCTATACAAAACAATTGTACAAAGGCTACAAAGTGCCCTTGGAGTTTTCATAATTTGTTTATGTATCATGGATAATTATTGAATATAAAGCATACATACATGACCAATGCTGGCAGTCTTTGTATAGGTACTTAATTGACAATATTTGGAGGTCATTTCTGAACTGAATAGGTCTGGATTTAAGAGATGGACTATTTGTCAGAAAATACCATTCTTAGGAGTTGCATCTTTTTGTATAGAGCACTTATTTTTCCTTCCCTCATACAGAATTGTGCTGATTATGCTAATCCTTATGAAAATACAAAAAGCCAGAGACTCCAATAAGGAGAAACGCCTTCATAATTTATCTGTTTTGGGGTTTTATTTTTGTTGGTTTTGCTTTGTTTTTGTTTTGTTTTCTTTTACAAAATTTGCAACAGCTTTTTACATTGAAAAGGGCTACATAGGAGCCCTGTAACAATGTCTGACACATAAAAAGATATAGAAATCATTTAGAAATACACATGCTTATGAGGAAGAGGACAGCCACAGAGGGGATGAGGCAGTGAAAGTTTGCATGCAGTTGCAGACCAGAAGGATTAGGTGGTTCCTGGTTTGGGTCCTTTACTCTGCAGTAGTGCCTACCTACCTCTCTGTTTTCCTTGTGTTGCTCTCTTGTGTTTTGACTTTCTCAGTTCTCCTCTCATTTCCTCCACACTTTTTTATGTACTGGAGTACTACTGAAAACAAAGTTGTAACCACTGATTCCTTCAAGTTTCTCTTCTGTTTCAGCATGTATATATCGAAGAAGGCATTAACAGAACAGTTTGATCCCCGTAACTCTCCACGGGAGACATACCTACTATGCAAATTGCAGTGGGGTGAGACTGGCATTCCTTGGACACACTGGGTCAGAAATGACCGGGATAATAAAGTCCATGCTGAAGTCTACTTCCTGAAGAATATCTTTCAGAGGAGAAGATCCAATAATTATGTCAACTGTTCCATCACCTGGTACCTGTCCTGGAGTCCCTGTGTGAACTGCTGCTATAAAATAAGGGATTTCTTAAACAGACACTCATATGTGACCATACGCATATATGTAGCACGGCTTTGCTACAGAGGCTTTCACAGAAACCGTAAAGGTCTGAGGAACCTTGTAAGCTTGAGGGAAGTAACTGTTAATGTCATGGAAATCAAAGGCAAGATTTCTTGTGCTTTGTGGGACTGGGAAGGGATGAAAGCTGCACTTTGTGCATGACTGAATCTGGTGTGGGCTTGTTTCTATGCCCAGCATCCTGCCCAGCATCTCTGAGGGCACATCCATCACCATTCAGTGACTGAGTGTCCCATCCAAAAAAAGCTGTTCAAGTATTACAGAAGAGGAGGAACAGGACTCTTAGAAACCAGATCTGTATGAAAATTCTCCCTTGTTTAGAAATACCACCTTCATGTAATTCCTGAAGGAATGGGAGGTAGGGTGCTTCCCCCTTGTCTTAGGGGACAAAATGCAATTACTGGGTTAAGGCTAGCTAAAGGGCTCCTCTGCTGATAAGAAAGGGAAAAAAAACGCCCAGAGAGAATGACATTGGTTGCAGATATGGAGTGGACAGCATCCATTAGCAGACCTGTCCATGGCCAAGATGTATCTGTGACATAGGCACAAGGAAGAGGTTATAAAGTCTTCATTAATCATCTTGCTTCTATTTCTCCAGACTATGAGGACTGTTGGAAAGTCTTTATCCAAGGAGATGGTTATGATGATTCCTGGACTGTGGGCTTTCAGCCAGAGATAATTAAGAATCGTATGAAACTCAGCAACATCAAAGAGGTTAGTAGTCAATGCGGGATAGAGGGAACCACATGAAATGATTTGTTGTCTAGCATAACTGAGCAGTAAAGAGCAGGAAAGGAGCTGTTCACTTCTAGTTGTGATTTAAAGAGTGCTGCAGCATGCTTTTGGAAAAAGTAATATAGTAAAACCATAGGAAATACCTTGTCCCATTGGGAGAGAATCACTGTGGATTTTCTTCCTTTATATTGCAAATCGAATGCTAAAAGTGCAGTTTTTCTCCTTTGGGCTCTTTGATTTTTATCTGAAACTCCAGCCTTATCCCAGAAACCCTCCTTCAGATTCCTTTCTAACCTGGATCTCAGCATGGGTTTCTGTTCACCAAATGATGCTACTCAGCCCCTTTCTGTCAGTATCTGCAGTGGTCTGAGAGCTTCGCAGTCGCTGGGCCTCTGCACACTGCATCCAAGTCCCTTCCAGATTTGATTCAGATGAGAAAACCTGTTACAAAGAGAATGTCTGTCCCTGGGAAAATTCAACCTTTGTTTTTGTTTTGTGCCAGACCTCCTTAAAGCCAGGAGAGAGAAGAAAATGTGTACTGAAAGTTTGTGCCCCTGGAGACAAGTAACCTGCTTGAATTAACAGGTTCACATCCTTGGCCTGGAAGGATTGTATACAAAATAAAATCTAGCAAAACTAATATAAATGCTGCAGCATTCTGATTTCATAGAATCATCAAGGTAGACCTCAAAGACCATCAGGTCTAACCACTCTGCTGCAACCCCTAAACCATATCATCCAGTGGAAGACCAGGCACCTCTGATATACCTCCAGGGATGGTGAATCCACCATCTCCCTGGGCAACCTATTCCAGTGACTGACCACCCTAACAGGGAAAAAAATTTTCCTAATATCTAATCTGAATCTCCCCTGTCTCAGTGTATGACCACTCCCTCTAGTCCTCTCACTACAGGCATGGCAGAAGAGACCGTCCCTTTCAGGTAGCTGTAGAGAGCCATCCAGTCACTCCTGAGCTGCCTCTTCTCAAGACTAAACAAACACAATTCCCTCAGCTGTTTCTTCTAAGACATGTGTTCCAGACCTCTGATGAGCCTCGTTGTCCTTTGCTGGACTCACTCCAGTGTCTCAATGTCCTTTTTAAGGCGAGGGGCCCAAAACTGAACACAGTACCCGAGGTGTGCCCTCACCAATGCCAAGTACAAGGGGATGATCACTTCCCTAGTCCTGCTGGTCACACTATTCTTGGTACAGGCAAAACTGCCTGTCATTTGCCTTCTTGGCCACCTGTGCACACTGCTGGCTCATACTGAGCCACTGTCCACCAGCACTCCTAAGTCCCTTTCTGACAAACAACTCTTGAGCCACTCCTCCCCCACTCTGTAGCACAGCATGGAGTTGTTTTGTCCCAAATGTAGGACCTGGCACTTCGCCTTATTGGACTTCATGCAGTTGTCCTCAGCCCATTAATTGAGTCACTCCAGGTCTCTCTGTAGAGCTTTCCTACCCTCAGACAGACTGACACTCCTACTGAGCTTAGTGTTGTCTGCAAATTTACTGAGGGTTTCAATGTATTAGAGTTTTCTAACAAATGCTATTTTTGGTGAAACAGAGTCAAAGAAATCTGTGGATAAGTGGGTCACTGATCATTTGGAAAATCCATTTTATATGGCATCTGTGGAAAAGAAACAACCTGGGCTTATTATAACAAATAGACCACTTCTGCTATGTCCATTTCAAATCACAGAAGGTCCAAAGTTCAGTCGTTACTGGATCTAAATGTCATACTCTTATTTTCGTTTCAGAATCTTTATTGATAGAATCAAAGAATCATGGAATATCTCAAGTTGGAAGGGACCCCAAAGAGAATCATCAAGTCTAACCCCCTGTTCCTCACAGGACTACCTAAAACTAAACAAGATGACTAAAAGCATTGAAAGGCTAGGTAAACCTAAACCCATGATTTATGAAATAACACTGATCAGAAGCTGGGGTAGAGACTAACATTTCTAACTTTAATTGTAACTTATATTAGCCATACTTTTATCCTAATTGTAGCTGTAAGTCGCTGCTTTTTCAAAAGCTAAACTTTTAGGAATTTGTAATGTCTGCACAAGTGAAGATATACTCCAACTCTCAGTGTCTCTGCAAAGTGAAGAAGATAAGTGCAAAGTCAAAAGGGACTGATAAGACATCCCCCCCCAAAACTGGGGTGCCAACACCAGCTAGAACCTGCTCTGAGGTTTGGAAAGATGACCAGAAGGGGTGCATATGTGACCAACAGGAGAGATTATTCAGTGGACAAGTGATGAAGACTAGGGAAAGTCCACTAGGAGACACAGAGGACCCTCAACAACCACCACCTCAATGAACTGCACAGGTGCAAGGAGGGCAGGGATATTATAATGATTTCTAAGTAGTAATTAGCATATATGCATGAGTTCCTAGAAATGTAATGAATAATCATGATTTATGAAAATAAAAACTGTCCTGTTTGGAGGCGGGGTGTGCGTGTTAAGAGAAGCGGTCCCCCACGCACCTGGTGTCAGCATTAAAGGATTGCTTGCTTAACAGTATCATGCTGTCGGATCAGTTTCTTTGAATCAGTTTTAGGCAAGCCAGGCAGGAGACTCTCTGCTTGGCTGTGAGACCCTCTGCTTCTGGGACCCTCAAGGTGCCCCCAGATAATTCTCTGGTAAGGCTTCCTGTTCCACTGAATCATCACAGGGACAGACAAGATCCTGTGCTGTGGAACACTAAGGTCAAAGCATTCTTCTCTCTGTTTGGTACCAGGTTTTGAGGCTTGTCATTTGGGCACTGCCCATAATCCATTACATATGTGAATGCAGGACAGGGTATATCAGACTGCTAGTGCCTTCTAGGTATACCATTGGGCATTCTTTGTGAATACATTCGGGTGTGCCTTAGGGGTACACATTTGGGTATTCATGAATGCATTTGGGGGTGTTCTCTGTAACACATTCTGTTACTGACCTTTGGTTATTGATTTTGGGTTCAGGTATTTGATTTATGGCATTTGGCTATTGTCCTCTGATCCTGATTTAATGTATTTATCAGTTTATGGACTTGGTATTATCTGTATTATAATAGTACTGTTGTTGTTGTTGTCTTAAGTTGAATGTGAATCTTCCATGTGTATCTTAAATGTTTATCTTCTGTGTGTGTTGAATGTTCAATTAAAAAGAAACTTTTAGGAGCTGCACTGCTGCTCGTTGAAAGGGCTGTGGCTCCTCCCGGTGTGACCTCTGTAAGGAGTGTCAGTCTGCCTTCACAGCCGGTCACTTGAGGCAATTCCCCCTCCTCCCCCACCTTGTAATCGTTGTAAAGCCACTAAGTGGTTATATTGCTTGGTGCGCTGGTAAAAACTGGTCTGAGGTTGGAAGAGTGAGTGTGTGACTGTGGATTGAGTGAGATGTACAACTAAGTGTGAAGTGAGCGTGGAGCTTGGATCCACGGTTCTGGAGCCCCTCGAGGGGACTGGCCAGAGGAAAACGAAGTGAAAGAGATCGACATAATGGGGGAACAGCGAAGAAAAGCCCATTGGGCTGCATTCTAGCACATTGGAAAGAAATTGAAGGCCCTGCAGGGGGTGGGGGGAAGGGTGGGCAGAGGGGAGTGTCAATAAGAAAACCTTAATCAAATATTGTCACCAATGGTGGCTGTTACTTAAATTAGCAAATGTTGAAAAGTAGTCTGTGAACGGCACACCTGATTATAATACTCAGCTACAGCTGATGTTATTTTTAAGACAGCTAAAGAAATGGGATGAGGCGGTGCATGATATATTTTTCACCTTGAGGGGAAACCCTGAGTAGCAGAAGGAGTGTGGAATAATTTTAGCACCCAGAGACAAGACTCATTTGTATTAGCTTTGGGAAAGGACAATCGGAAACATGTATCAAGATGAATAAAACGTTGTTGCTTAGCTTGTAGCATAGGACAAAAGAGCTTGGAGTTTGAAGAGGAGTGACAAGGACTGGGGAATCTTTCCCCATCAGATTCACTGGTTATAAGAGAGCTGGGGAAACAAAAACAAAAGATAGATTTCCTGGTGGATACCAGGGCTTCCTATTCAGTATTAAATTGAGGATTAATACCAGTGGGTGAGGATTTTGGAAATGTAGTAGGGGCTACTGGCGCACAAAATAAAGCATTTTTTTCGAAGCTATTAACATATTGATTAGGGAAACAAGTGGGAATACACAGGTTTTTATATACGCCAGAATCTCCAAAGTTAGTGTTAGATCGAGATTTGTTAGAACAATTAGGAGCCAAAATAACTTTTGAACAAGGAAAATTGAGTTTAGGGTCAAAGAGGATCGGGTGATTCAAATATTAAGCCTGGCATTGATTCAGCCTGAGGCAAACAGTAAAATACCCCAAGAAGTCTTGGACCAAGCCCATTTAAAATATTGCATGGGAGGTCTTACCAGATCCAATATAGTGGGGAGAATGTAAGTCAAGTGGGACAAGGATATTTACAGCAGTGCATGATAACACTGGGAAAACAGCTGAATAAAATCAGCAAAAGAGCACTTGAAACTAGGGCTAGAGGTTTGGATCAACCAATTCATTGCTTCAAACCTGGGGATTGGGTGTTTGTTAAGGTTTTTGCAGGCCAACTCCTAGAGGACAAGTGGAATGGGCCATACCAGGTGCTCCTGATGACTTTCACTGCAGTCAAGATCAAAGAACAGCTGGCCTGGATCCACTACTCCTGGTAAAGAAGGCATCTGAAGGAAAATGGACAGCAGAACCCATGGGACCAACAACCCTCAAGTTCATCCAGCACTGACCCTTAGGACTTGATAAGTATAGTAACCCTGACCCAAGCCATGGATGGGGCATGGCCATGGTCCCATGCTCATATTGGATATTCTGGTGTGGCTGGGAACATCTTTAATTTAAGCCTGACCACTGTGGTTCTGCACAACAAAGAACCATATTTGAAACATGATTGGAAAAGAAAGAATGGACTTAGTACTCTAAATGGAGTAATCAAGGAAGAAATATGGGTAGGATGTAGGCGAACTAATGCATTCATTCATGAAAAACAGACTCCCCAAACCCAGATCACTGTAAGGGACTCTACAGAATATAGTGAAAGGAAAAGAAATTGGTCAATCTGTTTGTGTACCTAATCAATCCTGGCACAACTTTACGTTGGACAAACCAGTTTCCATAGTATGTCTTTGGGCTTCTGAAATGGAGGATCCAAGTGATAACCCTGTCACAGCATTATTGAAAAGGCTTGTAATAAATACTCAAATAAATACTAAGACAACAGTATTGTGCTGGTTTCTGCCAGGATGGAGTTAATTTTTTCTTCTCAATAGCTGGTACTGTGGGGCATTTGGATTCAGAGTGAGAATACTGTTGATGAGGCACTGATGTTTTGGTTTCTGCTAAGTTGCATTTATCGTAAATCAAGGATATTTTCTTTCTTGTGTCTCATGCTCTGCCAGTGAGAAGGTACACAAGAGAAACTGGGTGGGAGCATAGCTGGGACAGGTGGCCTGAACTAAACAAAGGGATATTCCACACCATAGAACATCATGCCCAGTATATAAGCAGGAAAGGGAGCTGATCCTGGAAGAGGAAAGGGGTTGTGTTGGTCCACAGGTGGTGAGCAATTGTATTGTGCATCACTGATTTTGTTTTGTTGTTTTTTTTCCCTACTGTGACCTCATCACAGAAAACAGTGGCTCTGAACACCTGGTCAGTTGTTTAGATTCTGCTTGTGTATAACACTGTGATGAGGTTACGTATGATGATATGTAGATTAAGGCCTCATTCAGCGTCCCGTTCTGCCTGTCTGGTCTGTTCATATCTTCCTCACCTCCAGCCCAAGCCTGTGTTCTGTCACAGTGTGATGACTGTTCTCCTCACAGTCTATTTCCTGACTGGACAAAGGTGATGCTAGCTGTTGTCTCTCCTGCAGCAGTCCTGCTGAGACACAGATCTGTCAGACACTGCTGGGGTTGGAGCTCCATCATTGTTTTGGCCTGGATTTTTCCTTCAGCAGGTCAGAGCTCCTACGCTCCTGTGCTGCATCCATTGCTACCATCGTCTGGTTAAACCAAGAGCAGAGGCATCCTTGAACCTTAGTCATGGTGGTGGGAGACTGAGCATCTCAGTTCAAGTGTCCCTGATCAATGTGTGTGTGATGAAGGTGGATTGCGGACTGGGCAGCAGGCTGTGGCAAAGGAGGTGCAGATGGATATGTCCCCCATCCTGCAGCCCTGCCTGTCTTACAAGACAAGCAGCAATTGTGTTAGCCTCCAAATCTGCAATCTGTGTTAAACAAAGTAGTGAGATCTGGCAGGGCTTCCCTGTCAGCAGCATATATGACCTCATAAGACAGGAAAATTGTGACAGGGCAGATTGCTGACAGATAGTGTCATAACTCCCTCTGCTTCCAACTATGGTCTGGATTATTGATCTGCCCTGTAGCGAGGTCTTTCCATAGCAGCATCCTGATCAGCAAATGCCTGATCTACAGGATCAGGGCCAAGACTACTTGGATAGTTGGCCACTTTCATAGCTGGATCTGATGAACTTTTACAATTGATCACATTGGGTGTACTCATCTTGAGTGAACCATGACAGTTCAGCTGGATTTTTGGATATAAGGTTTTACCCTTCCACCCTCACAGGTCCCTGCTACTTCTTGGTTTCTGTCTTATTTATTTTCCATTTCTGCCATCTGCTGCTTATAGACTTTTCTTAACCCCATATGGACCTTTTAATCCCTCACTTCTCTTAAGATCTACTCAGATGCAGTGAACACAATCCA